TATTTTGTAAAATTAACTCTATTAATACCAAATCATAGCACTTATATGTATTTTTAAAATTAGAAAAGCTAAAATTATACTTATAAATTAAATAAAAATGATTGAAAATAACAAATAAAATTGTAGAGAGTAGAATGAAAATGTAATTAAATTTTTATTTTAATTTTAGCGAATAAAGAGACATAAAAGTCGTTGGGGAAAGCTGGAAGGGGTGGATTGCAGCGTCAGCACGTGCCTATCATCTGCTTCGCCCAACAGACACGTCCGTCCCTACAGCTCCACCAAATACAATAATAGCTGCACCAACGCGTCTCGTCTCGTCTCGTCTCTTCCAAACCCAACATTTCTTTTTTGTTTTTCATCTCGCAGGCAGCTCCACCTCCACCACTACCAGCCATGGCTTCTTCTCACTTCCTCACTCTCCGATCCTCCATCGCCAAACCCACCACCAGGTCCTTCCTCTTCAACCCCATCAAGGTCTCACCTTTTTTCTCTTTCTGCTTCAGTCATTCACTGCTCCTTTTATTTTGCCTTTCTGAATCTCTCTTCTTTCTTTCTGTCTTCTTCTTGGCTTGTGAATTCTGCAATACGCACTTGCTGAGAAATAATTGTTTGGGGAGACCCATTGTGGGGTTCTGGCTGATTAGCTATTTTTCAGTGTCTCCTGATGATTCCCACTTTTTGTTAACTTCTTGTTTTGTGAATAATCTTCTTCTGTTACTTTCACCTGAGCGGCAAATTTTTATTAGGGAAACCCAATTGTGGGGTTCTGGTAGTTTTTTTTTTTTTTTTCAAATAACTTGGGCCAAAGTTCTGTTTGGTATGACTTGTACTGTTGTTGTCGGTTGATTCTTAGCTGTGTTTCACTACCAAGGTTTTGTGAATTGAGGACTTTTTTTTTTTTTTAACTGCACAGTCCTGTGTTTGAAACTGAAAATTAACAGTGATTGAGAGTGGAAAATTAAAGGGAATCAAGTACACGCCAGAACCACAAGGCAAGAGAACTTTTGTGATCCTTAAGCTTCAATGTCATATATGCTCAATTGGGTCTGCGAATTTTCTTTTCTGTTAGGGTAATCCAAGCATCAAAACTAAGAAATCAAGAAGACCCCGCAAAATACAGCGTTGAGTTTGGAATCTGATATTAGATAGAGTGTCAGAACCAATTAAGAACATTGTTTGGAATGCTCATGATTCATTAAGTAAAGTAACTTTCTTTGTTCGGTATGCAATGAATGGACCTGTTTGTTTGGTATCAGAACTTTGGGCAATCAAGCAAAGGAAACCATCGTGTGGAAGAGAGGGCACCATCAACAGCTGAGGAATTCGAGAGAGTTGCAGAGGAGAAAGCAAGGGAAGCGAAACAAGGTGTTGCAAGCCAAACTACAGATGAGGCATTTGATGCAGCAGGGGAGGCTGCTTCCTCCAACGTTGGATCAGCGAAGAAGGGGTACAAGGAACATGAACATGGGACAGATTACCGCGGGACTGGAAATTAGGAAGCTGTTTGTGAAGCAGCAACAATAAGAAATAAGAGCCAGTTTTCTCTTTAGCATTTTTCTTGGAATCAAAACCCTTTTTATTACTCTTCAGTCTTCATACTTTCAGTTCATTTTCATATTAGAATCATTCTTAATCCAGTGTTGTACTGTTTTTCATGCTAATTGGTTGAGTTTATTGATCATGAGCCCAGTATAAAAAGTTACTAATAAGAAGAAGATTTAGGGGACTAAAGTTTCTTAAGAAGAATTTTGGTAGGTGAGAAGAGTCCTATAACCTTTCTCAGGCACAATCACATAATGTTTTGGACACAGTTCATAGTAATCTACGTTCAAGTTGGAGTTGGAATATTCTAATATCGGTCATGGTGTTTTGTGGAGGAGCTTTTATCACATAAATTATAGGTTCCTCGTATGTACATGTTTAAATATAAGGTTTTTTAAAAAAAAAAAATTCTCTGTTTCAAACATACAAAGCATTTTGATTAATGGTAGTGTTGAGGTTTTTCGTTCAAAAATGTATAAGGGTGTTTTACAAATTTATTTGTTTTTAATTATTTGTACTCCTATTAGAATATGATTTTATGTGAAAAAATATTATTTATTATTAAAAATTTATAAAATATTTTAATTATTGGAACATTAAATCAAAAAATTATTGGAACATGAGATTTTTTGAAAAAAAAAAATTCTTATATTTCAAAGCGAGAGAGCATTAATTTTTAAAATTTGTTAGTGAAATGGGGAGTTGAAAGGTGAAACGGAATGATAGACATTGGGTCCATTAAAGTTGTTCTTATCCATTATCCAACCAACTTCACGAGGGCGCGGGGCAAAAGACAGATGCAGGCCTTCGAATTTGACTGCCTAGATTCTGTTAAAATAACGTTTGATTCCCGTCTTCTTAGTATCGATTAATTTTAATCAATTTGATTGTTTTGGGTGAATCAGTTAAATGTGACCTGTAAATAAAAAAGGAGGAAAAATAATGAGATTATAAATTGATATCACATAAATGATTGGGGTATTATTTTCATAATTGTTTTCATTTCTCTCGGCATTTTTGCAACCAAACACATCCTTATTAAGAAATTGAAATGTATTGAGGATAAGATGCTCGAGAGGAAGTTTGAAAAATGCAGCAACATGTTATCCAGTGTCTTTTGCTTTTTAGTTTAAATGTTATCCTCGCGGCTTATGAGATAACGAAGGAAGAAGGTCAGTGTCTGTCAATTCGGACCGATTAATTTAATTGGGAAAATGAAAGCGACCACGAAGATGTAAGCCCCGTTTTGTTAGTCCACTTGGAACCATGTGAATGACTGTGTTTGATCGGCCATGTTATTATTGGGCCAGATATCGTTGGGCTCCACACTCGTCTCAGCCCCTCACCCATATGGGTGATCAACTTCTCTGGCTCCAAGGACGTCGTCGTTTCCGACGCTGCATTTCTGCAGATTGGGCCCGGGGACTTTCCTGAATCCGACTTAGAGTCGATGACCCACTCACATCACTTCGTGGCCTCAAGCTGCCGTGCGGTGCCGCCTGTGTCCATTATAAACCATTTTAAAACCATTCTATGAGAGATGTGGGACATAAAATTATCAGTTCAAGTTTCCTTCCCTTTTTTTCCCCTCGATTCAATGAAAATTTAGATGAATTAGATCTTAAAAGCTTATTACAAATTATCCATCAATAAAATTTTGAAATCAAAAGTTGGATTCAAAATTTGATCTCACAAACAATTTTGAGAATTATAAATCAATGTACAGTAAATCATCCATCATGCACGGGGTTTGAATCTAGCTGGAAATCAAATCTTTACCAATCAACCAATCTTTGTCAATACTTCATTTTCTTTTCTTTTGTTTTCCTCTTTTTTGGTTACAGGCTGGGAGTGCCATTATTAGCCATACAATACATAATCGAGTTTCGTATGATGGCAAAGGAACATAATTTTCATTTGTGATTATTAAAATATAATCTGAAAACATAAATTTTCCCTGGTCATTTTGATCTCGTGAAAATATATAGTAACCCTGTCACGTTTGGAGGAAATGTTCGCGCTGAAAATACACACACGCAGTGAAAGTAGTTGTCATGAGCAGTCCAATTAAATATGCAATTTGAGTTCGGTAGAAATAGCATTCCCAGAATTTCATTCATTAAAAAGGCCTCGTCTTCATGAGTGTGCAGAATCATCAGTACGAAATAGCCATTAAAGTTTCATGCTTTTCTTGCCGTCTTTCATATCTGCTTCAATTCTCCACAAGTCCGTTTCTTCCGCACCCTCCTATTTGTTTCAACTCATTCTCACACTGAAGCTTCATTTTATCTCGAGCAGTACTAAATTGAATTAGTTTTAACTTTTAACCAACCATGGTCGAACAAATTCACAAGTCACAAGAATTTCATATCTATTTAATTGAACTCGAAATCTCATACTTAAATGGTCATAGTCCCAATAATTATATTCAGACTTATTAACAATTGAATATGAATCAATCAATAATACCAAATATTAGATAATTATATTTTTTTTAAAAAAATAAAACTAAACGTGTTTTGTGTATATTTGTTCCCGCACATCCATGAGGGAAAATTTTTTGCTTACCTTAATATTTGGTTTGAGTGTAGATTAGTACAATCTATCATCCAATCTGGTTTAATGGATTCGTTTGGTTTTGTTATTTTTAACATTTGAAAAATGCTTTTTTACTTTTCAAAAATCAAATATTGTTTGATTTTTAATCTTTTTTCAAAAAATTTCATTTAAAAAGTCAGTTTCGGATGTTGTTGTATGTATTTTTGGCTAACTTAAAATAATGAAACTTTTAAAAAGTAAATTTAAAAAATAAGATGTTATTTGATCATACTATCCAAAATTTAATCTTTTTTATTTAAAAAATAGTTAATCCATTAAAAATAAAATTGTCATTTCAATAATAATAATTTGGTATTGAGTTTTTCGTATTATAAATTGAATAATTAATCATGTTAATTTTTAGCATTAGAGTATAATACAAATTATAAATCTTTATCACATTATTTTAAAATTACAAATTAAAAAAGTACAAATGACTATAGATCAAGTTTTAGCATTATAAATCAAATATTATGTTATTTAAAATCTTTATCATATTTTTAAATATTTTAAATATAGTACATTTATATAATAAAAATTACAAATCATCATAAATTAATGTCATTTTTGATAATTGTACATTTAAAAATAAATTTTACAATCATAATTTAAAATAACTTTCAATATATGAAATTGACTTTTAAAAAAATGTATCCAAACACAAATTTCATTACAACAATTAATTTTCATTAAACTAACTTTAACTAAATGAACCTTTATCAAATGAATTTTTAATAAACTAAAAACCAAACATACACTTAACATATCACCCTCTGTAATTTGTATGTACAAATAAAGGATAATCCAAGAAAATATCATATAAATGTTAGACAATATTTTCTTTCCGTTTACTTTTGGCTATTTCCGAGCTCTTTACAGAACACACTTTTCTAAACCATGCCTCTGAAAATTAAGCCACTTTTACTATTCAATGCTTTAACTGTTTTCCAAGTAATATTGGTATTTGCAATATTTGCACCAATGTATTCTAATGTCATCCCCCAATGCCATAATCTTAGCATAATTGACCCCAATTAATTATCACTAATCAAAGCCAAATAACCTCCTTCTTCATCCTTAAAAGCATCCTCTTCTTGGACTCTATTCAATCTAGCAAAAACCCCTACTAATGCGGCTGTATTGTAAGTACATGCTTCTGTCTGCACGTAATTCCCCCTCTCGTCCCTAAACCCGTCCGTACTGTTGGGCCCACCGACTAGGGCCCCAGTCAGTACATTGGGGTTAGGATCATGGCGTCCATACCAGTTATCGTACCCCTGCGTGCACCCAATAAAACCCATGTTTTCTTTGTATGATTCCATGGACGCGCCCCTATGGTGCACCCTCATAGGAAAGTGGGGCCCATATCCTACCAAGTAGCTTCTCTCGGTTGGATTAGAGCCCAGGATGTAGTCCACCTGTGATTTCGCGAAGGCTAGGATCTCCTGCGGAGAGACATCTCCTTTGTCGCAGTGGAGCCTCTGGCCGGCGGCTCGGAGATGATCAGAGTATACAGTGAGGAGCAACGACGCCGTTGAGACGTATTGCATGTTGTTCCACTGGCGGACGTACAGTAAGCCTCCTGGGGTGCGATGCACGTTAGTGGAGTTGTTTTGGCCGAGGCACGCGCAGAGATAGTGCTCTGCTTTTGAACGGTATTGTTGGAGAATGACTCGGCTTTGACCCTTGTGCTTTTCTCCTTCCATGAGGAGCTGAAAATGGAAAAAGAAAATTATGACTTTGCCTACGTATTTTAGAAAATAATAGCAACATTAAATGGGAGTTTAATAATGATTTCTAAATGTCATGTGTCGGTTTGAGAATAAACCCATGTATGAATGAAGTCTAATGGTAGTTGATGAATTTTCCGTTCAATTTTAACAGCTTCTATGACTGAGACATGTTCTTGAAGATTTAGAATTTTACAAGGTTGGAAATTAGGAATCTAAATGATGTTAAGGCTTATGAAATTATGAAAAATATAATATTAGCTATAAGTTTTTGTATTGTTAATAAAACATTTATGATTAATTACATTATTTATAAATTATGAATAATATTTTATTCGTTAAACTTTATGCAATTCAAAAAAAAATTCTCCAACTGTCACAGTTTATAAGATATATATGTTTTTAAAAGATTTATCATCTTAAAATATAAGATAATTTAATAAAATTAAAATAAGATTTAAATGATACTTTCATTATCTTTTCTTTCTATAATATTATTCGATAAATGAAGTATTGAAAGAATAATATTTTTAAAATTTTATATTTTTTAAAAAATTATGAAATATATTTTAATGAGATTGATTAGTATGTATAATTTTATGTAAAAAATATTTTATAATTTATAAATTAAGATAAAGAGATTACTTATTTTGTAAAAAAAAAGTAATAATGTAAAATAAAAAGAGTGCATAGTTACCATGGAAGCAATGGATTGAAGGCCAGCGTACTTGATATCCCAGCTAAATTCAGCGACGGCCCAAGTGGTCCCACCAAAGTCATAAGCATTCTGCAGAACATACTTTAAGTATTCTTCATTTTCAGTGGCCTTGTAGAGCCATATGGCTGCCCACAGTAACTCATCCCTGTACCCGCTCACGGACGAATAATACCCTTTAGCCACTCCGATGCTCTCATCATATTTCCCCCTGTACTTGTCCCCAAACTCAAATAACTGCGCCACATCATACCCAAACAAATAACATCAACAATAACTAATTAAACCTCACACAAGAAATTTTAAAATTGATCATTGGATTAAAAGTAATTAACTAAGAAATTAATTAATCATTCTCTGTGAGTTATGTAGAATAGCATCCTTGATTAACTATATAACTAACGTGCCTGTTGTGCATGCTGCAATAGTAGGTGGGAGTAATGTGGGTTTGTTCTCCTAAACACTATTGAGGCAGCCGCCATTGCCGCCGCTGTCTCTCCGGCAACCTCTGAGCCAGGGTTATCGGCGTCCAGCTTGTAAGCTCGTCGGGATGTTGTCATGTCCTCTGGCCTTTGCCAACAGTAATGATCGGTGCCGCCGTCGCCCACCTGAAAAATTGCCGCATTCCCATATAAAGATTAACCTTTTTTTTTTTCACAGGCCAGAAAAATCATTAATTATAAGTTGAATTATTCGTGAATTTGATTTAAAAAATCATAATTTGATAGTCTCATTTCACTTTTAGATTTTTGACTCAGTTGTTCAAATCAAACTCAGTGAACAATTCCATAATTTCTTTCATCCCCATGTGCCGCCGCGAGTGAGACACGCGCCAATCACGGTATCAAGGTGGGTCAGCACTGAAACCCATGGTGGATCCGCTGATCGCTCTGACATCTGAGTCTCATTGAGTCTATTTCTCCAGCGAACATGGAGGACGACTGAAGTACCACCTCCACCTTCCTAAACGGCGGCGCGTGGGCTGTGCATTCTATACGGCCGTCCTTGGCAAGCTTTTGTTACAGAATATATGGTAAACGTACGAGAATATAGATATATATATGTATATATATATCTATGATAACGAAATTACCTGCGCCCAGAGAACATGAGGGTGAGTGTGGGCCTTGATGAAATAATCAGTGCCCCACTTAATGGCCTCGAGAGCGTGAGAATACTCGCCGGCGCTGGCAATAAGGTCGCCGTATTCAATGACGCCCCAAGAGAGCAACGTGATGGTGAATGCCATGGGAAGCCCGAACTTGACATTATCTCCGGCATCATAGTACCCTCCGACCAAGTCCACCTACCCCAAAAGAGGACACAAAACATAAATGACGACCCAATAAAACACACACACAGAGGCGTTGTAGGGTAGCCTACCCCTTGTTCGAGGCCGTCGGTGAGGCCAGAATGGTGGCGCCAGGTGACCCTCTGGTTGTGAGGCAAGTGACCAGAACGCTGAGACTCGAAGTAGAGGAGGCTGAGAGAGAGAGCTTGCTTGTAGTCGAAGGAATAGCATGAAGCAGGAGAGAAGAAGGAGGTTGATGAGAGAAAGACGAGAAGAGCCTTAAGCCATGTTCTTAGGTACCAGAAATGCTTCAGAGCTCTGACTTCTTTCTTCTGATTCGCCTCCATTTTGATTCTGTTTCTCTGACTCTCTCTCTCTCTCTCTCTCTCTCTCTCTCTCTGTATTCGTTCTCTCCCCCTCTCTCTTCTCCCCATCTCTGGTATTTATACGTGAGGCTTTTCGTAAAGGAAAAGAAGGAGGGCGTGATCAGACGGGGGCATGTTCATGGGGAATCGGGATGCAGGCTCATTCTGATTGGTCTAATTTATGACCCTATTATGCACTCAGTTTTAAACGTAGGGGTCAACCTATAGTAAAAACTAACATATAATTAAAAAAAAAAAATTATCGTTGCAGGATGAAGGAGGCTCGGTTTTCTTTTTTCTTTTTTTTGAAAAGAAATTGATTCTTATAAATAATAAAAAAATTGAAATAGCTTATAATTAAGCTCAGCAACACTAAAATCTCACTCATAATATTAAATGTCCGATAATTATTTATATGTTGAAGGGAGAGGAGAAAATATAGAAAATGATGACATTATATGTATATTAGCATACTGTAATTTTTATTAGTTTTGGAAAAATAAGATCAGTTTTAGTCTAATATTTATTAGACTAAGAGGCGAATAAAGAGATGAGTGTGAAAATTACTCATAACCATGTGTGATTCACATTTCTCTTTATTCCTCTTTACAATCACACTTGAAATAAAAGTGCACTTGGGGAGATCCAATTTATTCATATATTCTCTTTTTTCCTCTTTACACTCACACTTGAGCTAAAAGCGCACTTGGGATGATCCAATTCATTCATACAAGAGGCATCAAGATTTTAATGTGATTTTTTTATTTTTTATAAAATATAAAAATACTCCCTTTAAACTATGATCCAAATTGTTCTTCAAAAGTTTTGCAAGATTTAAAATATAGGATATCAGATAGGCGTAATATGTTCTCCAATTACACCCTTATATTATTAAGTAATTGATGATGGTGTTTTGAAAAAAGTTAAATATTATATTTATTATATACAAAGGCAAAATAGCAAATTTTTAAAAATTAAAATTTTAATTAAATATAAATTAATTAACAATAACTTATAGTCGGGACTGTGTATATTTCAAGGCTCCTCCAAAAAAAAAAATCACTTATACATTTTATAACTTGTCATTATTTTTTTTTGTTAAGTATTGATGTTAATTAAATTTTTTTATTAAGAATTTATTTCTTGCTTACACCATATATAACCAGTCATCATCTTTACATTAAGCCTTAATGTTAATTACAACTTCTCGTTAAAAATTTGTTGCACCATATTTCATATTGTATCTATCACTTTTATTCCCAATATCAATTAACCATTATGTAATTAGAAGAGCTACATGCATATACTATATTAAAAGATTAAACTCTCATTTTCAAATACATATATTGTTTAGAGATTAATACTACTAGCATTTACTACCATTGAAAGAAATTTTCAAAATTAAAATTCCTTAAATTTAATTTAAGATCAGCCATATTACAAAATAAAGTAAATTTTTTAATTACAAAATTTAAACATGTGATTTTGCAGCTTAATAAGCTAAAAAGGTGACATAAAATAAATAAATGACAATATATTAAATCTCTTAAATATATTTGTCTTGTCTTCACTCAATCGCTGCTTATGTTGTGGTTTGGATGGAGTATATTGTTTGATTTTTATTATTAGGGCGGTGAGAAACAAGGGTGAAAGGAAGCTTTAACACCTGAACCATCAGAAAGGCAGTAATTGGACATCTGGATTGATACATTGGAATAATCAGAATCCAAAAGATTAATATCAGTGTGACCAATGAGAAATTAGTCTCATCAGGGGGTTCGGTAGAAAAATCAGGAAAGACTATTGATTGTGGACCACAAAAATTGTGAGCAAAATATTCTCTGTCGTTACACACACACACGCACACACACCAAATCAATAAAAGGTGATTAAATTATTAATTTTATTTAAAAATAAAATAAATTTCTAATTTTAATTTGAACTTTAAATAAAAAAATCAAATTTACATTATAATTTCTCATAATTAATGAGTTTTAAAAGGGATAATATTAAAAAAAATATAATTAATATCACACCAAATATCTTATTTAACGATTAAATAATTCTTCTAGAGAGTATATTATAATAGGGGCCGGATGATGGAGAGAGTACTTCATAGGTATCGATAAGAAATGGTTAAATTATTGATATCTAAAAAAAAAAAGAAATTAACTCGAGAAATGAATTTTTTTTCTCTGTTTTTAGTATAAGAGAGACTTTGAAAGCTTGTTTTGTTCTTAATATAAGGAAAAGTTAGAATGATTTATTTCGGCCCAATCTTCCCTTTGCTTATTTATTATGGTTAAATTCCTAAATAACAATTTATTATAATTATTAATAGTAAAGTTACATAGTTTTTTTTACAATTTTAAGAATATAACATTTTTAATAAGCATAAAATTAATTAATTTTTCCATGTATTAAGGACCAGAGAGAGTACCTCATCAAAATTAATGAGACAAATAAATTACCGATTCTGTCTGAAAAATAGATTTTTTGTAATTTACTATTATTAATGTATTATATTTAAAACTAATGAGAGTTAGGCTTAGAAAAAAATTACTCCCTCACAATTTGATTGATCAAATTTTAAATTCTCGTTAAAAGAAGTGCTCACATAAACATTTGGTATTTAACCATGTTTTGAACAATATTGCCTTTAATAAAAAGATATTTGTAAATAATCAAAAAACATATTATTTTTAAAAATATTTTCCCTCTCCCATGTAATCTTTTACTCCACCCATTGAAAATTATAAATGATTAAAATTGAAATAAAGTAATTAAAGAGATATATCTTTCTATATAAATTGACCTATAAAAAACATCATCTTTTTAAGAAAACAACTTACTAGAGGGGTATTTTTTTTATTACATATGAGCATCCTTCTATTAGATATAATTTTATTTAAAGTATGATTGAGTACTAAATATAAACACCTTTTTCAATTAGGGACTTGGATTCAGTGATGATACTTAATATAGGCACTGAATGTTGTATTATCTAAATCGTTAAAATCTTTATCAATGGTTGTGAACTTATACTCTACTTGAGATTAATGAGTAGTGAGTGAATTATCTAAATCGTTAATTTAGATTTTAATAGTTCAGATAATATAAGCACTCGATACCTATATTAAGTAGAGTAATTGAATCCAAATCTTTCAATAGAGGAGTATTTCATCATGTATAGGATGTATTTGGCGTATGATGTTTGAGCAAGTGTGGGACACCCATTGAAATTTGGCAATTGACATACACGTTTTTTTTTTTTTTGGGCAACAAGTGACATATATGCACATAATAAAATATTCGCCCGCAAGATTGAAATAGTTACAATTCACCCAGACAGAACAAAATATTTTTAATGAAATAGAGGAGATAGAATGAAAATAAGTATGAATTATATTGGTGTGTATGAGAAAAGGAATAAAATATTTTACCAAGTAATGTTTGGTATAATAACAAAATAGAGAGAAAAAGGTGAAAATAATTCAAACAAAAAACTAATAATATATTACAAAAAAACTAATAATATTAAAAGATATTTTAAATAAATATTAGATCTCTTCAATTTTGCTCCTCTCAGTTCAATTTACAAAATATTACACTGTTAAATTATAGCATTAAAGTGATTTAAAAGCTTAGGTTATTGCATATATTTTTTTTGCCATGTATAATTAAATAAGTTTGGTAGCTTGGTAAACATTGATTATTTAAGGTAGTCAAAGGTTATGAGATCATCCCAACCAGCTTGAAAAATTAATTCGTTTTTTTTTGTCATTGGGGTTGAAGATCCCCAGCCATTGTCGAAAGTGTTTCATTGACAGGTGACAATAGGGTTTTTTTTTTAAAAAAAAAAATGTGAGGAGTAGTTTCGTCTTTTTATCATAAATTTTAATTACATTTCATTTCCTTAATCTTGCAGTAATAGTTTAAATTTTTTAATTCTTATTTGATATTAAATATCTTTAAATGATATTTCCCCTCATCTTTTTCCCGGCATAACCAGCAGAGTCAAATAAATTTACACAAAAGGAGGAGATGAATTATCGAGAAACAATATGACGAGTGCTGACCAAGCAAGACCAAGAAGAAGAAACAGAGAGAGGCATTTAGGAAGCACGCATCAGAACCGGATTGAAACTAAATGATGAGCTTACCGACCAAGAGTGACATCGACGTTGTTCAAGTGTGACGCACGCAGTCGAACTTGGGTAGCCAGAGGGAAAATGTCAAACAATCGTTAGAAATTTTTGATTAACATGTCAAAATAATTTATGACATATCACAATCAGAATCCAACGGTGCAACACATTTTTTGTACTTCTGGAAGAAAGCTCATTTACTTAGCATCATTCGTGGATATTTTTGACCTTGAAACTCAATAATATGTTTGCCAAAACAACACATCACGGTATGTATCTTCACTGAACTTATATTTTCTTGATTTTAGGCAGTGATTTAAGACATATAATCAATTCCATTGAATTAATTAATGTTATTATTGCTCGGAACAGCTCTGTGAACTGGCTATTCCTCTCCTGTAATTTGCTCTTGAATCCGTGAGCATGTTTGATTTATAGAACAGTTTCAGGCTGAATTGTGCCCTCTTTCTGCACCACATGGTTTCTGCCGTACCATAGAGCATAAAACATGGGGAAAATAATAATTATGTATCTTAAAAATTTTAAAATGTTAAAATGCCGGAGCAGAACCATAGTTTTAATTTAAAATTAAAATACTTTTAATTATTGAAATAACTAATAAAATATCACTCATGAATTTAAGAAAAGTTTGTTGTGAATTTAAGAAAGCTCACCTGTAAATATATGAAAAGTCAATAGCAAGATTGTCAAACTCATAAGTCCAGATGAACTCATATTAAAGATATAAATTCATAATGTAAACTCGAATTATAAAAACGTAAAAATTTTCTTTTATTATTAAATAATTTAAAATAGGTATTTATACAGTTGAAATGAAATAATATAATAATAAATTTAGTTAAACATCACTCAAAAAATAATTTATATAAATATAGTCTAAACCTTATTAATTTCAATAGATTATTTTGCATTTAATAACTTATAAGATCTAAAATATTTTTTTGATATATTAAAATGAAAATATTAATTAAAGTCATACCTAACCTTGATAAATATAATAAAATTTATAAAAAGTATCAATATTCAACATTTCCTAATCACATCATAGAAATTTCAACATACTGCGTATATAATAATTTAGTTTAATTTTCACTAAAAAAAATTTATATTTTTAATATTATATTAATGCTTATACCCATTTGTTAACATTAGATTTTACATCGCTTGGGTATTTACTTGTAAAAGCATTGGAATCGTTTAGTAATAAAAACCATATATCATACATTTATTCCTTTCATTTAAAAATATAAGATATTTTTAATTAAATTTTATTTTTAATAAAGTAGTTACTTACTTTCAAACTAACTGTATTTTTTTATATTTACCCCTATTAAACACCTTACAATAAACATAAAGTCATTCATTAATAGGGATAATTTAAAAAAAAACAATGATTATACTTTAAAAAATTAAAAATGTCTTATATTTTTAAACATTTAATTTTTTTAAAAAATATTTTATATTTTTAAATGAAGGGAGTGTTATATATAAAAATATCAAAATTGAAATTCTTAAAATATATAAAAAAACTATTTATGAAAAATGCAGTATATAAGTTTGCTTGGTGAGGTGGCACACAAGTGGTGGGGCCATAGATCAAAATCCTCTCATTGTGCTTGGCTTTGCCAACGTCGGCCATAGTAAAGTGAATCGTACATTAAGCACAGATTTTGTGCGCGTTGCCAACGATTTTGTGCGAGTCAACAAGGCCCTGAGTTAAGATGCGAGCTGACACAAATTATTGGGTTGAAAACGTGAACTCACTGAATCAGTCATGCAAGTCGACTTGCGAGTTTAACAACACTAGTCAGTTGTGAATGGTTAATAGATAATAGTTTCATAAGCATATATATCATCACATATAAATTTAAAAATGAGCACTTGTAAATTTTTAAAATGTTAATTTTGAGTAAATGAAGAGACAATTTTGAGTATATTTAGAAATATAAAAGGATCCTTAAATTGTTGATTCATAATTAAAATTATTCACACTCATTGACATTCCACAAGTGATATTCATGAATTTACAACTCAGTATCCCTAAATGACAAATGATGTATACATTTATGAGATCCTTTATTCATTCACAACAAAATTTTTATTATTTTCGCAAGTGATGTTTCTAAAATTTACAAGTGATGATGCATAAATTTATAAAAATATATATATCTATTCACAAATAATTTTTCATTGATTAATAAGTAATATTACTTAAATTCACAACTAACTCTACTTATTTTAATAATTATTTATTACTTAATTATTTTTGGTGAACAAAAATTTAAGTGAATTGAGTTTTAAAGGCTCATCGAAGCCAAGGCATATCTACAAGATTAAAAAAATACTTATAAAGTACATATCATCCACTAACAAAATTTTTATATTAAAAAAAAATTTGATCTCACGAACTTATAAGTTATAAACTACTCTCCCCAATCTTATTTATAAATCATTTTTACTAACTTTATCAATACTAATACAAAAAAAATATAAAGAATAAAATTTAATAAAATTTTAAACATAACCCTCAAAAAGTAAATAAATTGTATAATATTATTTTTCTATTTCTCTCTCTCTCTCTCTTACTTTTTAAAGGTAATTTTGACATTTCATTTAAAACAAAATATCACCATCAATCTAATGACTTATAAAGTAAACCACTCCACCCTTATAGAAGGTGACTAATAAAGTAAACTAAAGAGAGCAACTTCTTATTAACTAGACCAATCTTTGTTAATTTTTATTATTCATTACTTAGTTACAAATAAATATCATTATCTTTTCATGACATTTTAATAATTTGAAAATTTTAATTATCATTCATGCCTTCAAAAGTTCTGTAGTTGTCATTTTTCCATGAACTAAAATCCGAGTAAAAAAAATCCTCAGTTTCTTCATGTGCTGGCCATGAGCACAAGTTTGATCCAAAACATACCGCCCTTGCCAAATTTCAAGTTATTAAAAAAGATGCTGCTTTTGACTTAAGTCGTATCCCCTATACCCCAGAGGGATGAAAACGATTCAATTGACATTTTACACAGTAAGATAATGATTCATTTGATACTTTATCATACACCAAAGCTTACGGGTGAAACTACTTCCAATTTTCCATAGAACTACAAAACATCAATCAACCACTAATCAGAATCACATTTTGCTAACTCTGAAGATTGTATAATCCATACATCAACATAGATATACACATAATCCGCACAACATGGCTCAACATCCAAGTTTAATCTTCAAGCCAACGACCCACGTTATTTTTAATTTAATATCCCGTCAAACCGTCTGGTGTGATTCGTTGAACGAAAGTAAAATCCATAACTCAGGAAGAATTCATCAACCGCTCTCTCTTTTCCCTGAATTTCTTCGTAATACCAACATATTCATATCACATTTTTCTGACCAAACGTAACCACTAAACCATCATCAAATTTGGCGTATTCACAAACAAGAGACATCAGCCATCATATCATTAAGGCAAGCTTAAATCACCAATCATCAATAAGCTAGCATGTCACAGGATCCTCCCTGAGGCACAAAAGATAGTAAATTGCAAACCACAAGTCATAAGATTTCACCAGTATGAAAGTAGAAGTCACTCAATAATATATTAACAAAGAAAGTATACACCCTACTAACTCAAGTAGCAAGAGCAGTATTCTAGTAGTAGGCTGATGGAAGATGCATCTTAGGCATCAACCTCAAGTTAAACTGAGTCTATGTCCATAATAATGCAAGAGCAGGAAAGATCTCCACAACCATTACGCAGCAGCACCTCCTGTTTGATGAAGCATGGCATCTATTTCATCCCCATCCTCCATTTCCAGCTGCACCCAATCAAAATGTATTGAGAAATAGTCCACAGTTATCAAAGTATGAACAGCATTGCCATGAAAATGTGAAGAGAAATACACACAGACCTCATCTGGAGTCTGCTCTGCTCGAAGGCGACGACCATCAAATAAAAAAGCAATGGAATTAAAATCCACTGATTGTCGGTCACAGTAAGCATTCATGAGCTTCTTCAGTTGCGTGCTTCTCTTGATCCTGAAGAAAACTTCATTCCCATCCTACAACATCAAATTCAGATTTGATGCTTATTTACATCTCTATTTCTAATCTCATAATGACAAAATGACATCACATAATAACTAAATTAACCAAATCCTGAGATCACGCAGATAGCAGTATCAAGAACATAAACATTTTGGCTGATTACTACCACTGCCGATCTTTTACACATAATGTAGTTCTTCTATGCTACAATAAAAAATAAATAAATAATTAAATGAAATGATCCATAGTTGCTAAAAGTTTTAAGCAAATCCTGTCAGATTTCCTCCTCTTTCTTTGCGGGGCAGTTGGTATTGACCAATGGCCAACCTACAACACAAATCAAATTACATACACCACAAACCAAATAGTCCATATGGCACCAAGCTTAAGTTGGAGCTCAGCTTGATGAACTTGAATTCAGACATATTGCCATTTCCACACTCCTCAAAAGAAATTACACATTGAACTCAAACATAGACGTACCTACCAATTAGTCTAACCACAAAGCCACACACTTCCACCAAAACTAAGTTCACATGTTGAGATTTTACCCTTCCTAACTAAATTCTCACTGATCTCTGCAACGCATTTGGAACTTAAATTAAAAAAAATAGCTTGGGGGTGGGCCTAGCATAAATTAGATCAATAGGCTGAATGGTTTTCCTTCTGATGCACAAAAACCATAGTCAAAGGTAAGAGGGGCCCCTAAGTCTCTAAATCACCTTTGGAAAAAGGCGCAAAAAAGGAACACACTCGAATGATACAAGACACTGAAGGAGGAAAAAAATACATTACACGAACAAAAATTAGATAAGTGTTTATTTTCTTCTTTTTTTTAAAAAAAGCAGATAATTTAACTATTAACATAATTATCACACCATAGAGGATACTAATAAGAATCATCATCATCAATACCACAGATATAAGTAAATAAACATAATTAATTATTAAGCCATCACTATAACATTACATAGTCTCGTATACTCGGTATAAAGTTACTGAGTTAACTTCACAGTTCAAAATATACATGTGGCAGCTGTCTTGCAAGCATGCTCCTTTTTTTTTCATTTTTCTTTCTTTTTCTGCTTTCTTTTTGCTCCCATTAGTAAAACATCAGAAAAATGACAGCACGTAACATTTTAAAACAACAATAAGTATTTCACCATATATAAATCCCTAAAGCTGAGGTGAACATCAACGATTGGGCATTGTTACTTCCTATTTTATGCTATTAATATTGTTAAGCATTATGTTAGGCTTATAAGCTAGCTCTTCGGTTTTTGGTTCCAAACAGAAAATGCATAAAAGCACGAAAGGCAAACACTGAAAAAGCCAAAAAATCAAATGCCGCATGCCTCAAAAGCAATTAGTATCAAATATGTCTTTATTATCATTAATCTCATTCCTTTTCTCAATGCCTTGCCCACAAACTCAAAACAAGTCACTGGAACCTAGAAGTAAACCCTTGGGCATCATACAACGACATTCAATACCTTTTTAAGTTCAAGTAAGAGAATAACTTGCTGCTTGCAAAATTATTTTTGTTACCTAATCTTTACTTTCATTTTGCATACCAAGAAAAATATAAATTCTTGTTAATAGAAATATTACTAGTATTTTTTTATTTTTTGCACCAAACAAACTATGAACACTTCACCAATAAATATATTACCCATATAATATTGTTCAATAAGCAAAAACTTCTCTTAAAAACCAGAGGCTCACAACTCAGTCTCATGCTAACCAGTTAAATTCTTCACACAATTCAGGAAAAAAAACAGATAATAGAATTCCTGCCTCATGATTCATTAGAGACAAACTCCGCAACTCATTCTCATCAAGAAGTAACTGACCGCAAAAGCACGGAGACATAATGTTCAAACAACTAAAAAATTGACTCTTCGAGAATTGTAGAGCCTATAAACGCAAGTCAGAGCAGGCCAGCAGGGAATTGTATAGTATTCCCCACTGGAAATCACTTAATCCACGAGCTGAGCGAATTATAATCCAATAATCAAGCATCGCACAAAGGTCGAACCAAAACCCACGAAAGATTAATGAGCAAAAACTGATATGCAAAATTTCTCAATTTCCACCAAAGCAAATTAATACAAAAGACTTCCAAGTTCGAAACTAGAGTATACAACCGTCACGCCATTTTACTAAGTCAAATCCCAGTCATGGATCCCCTGTTCCGAAGAGCCAGGGAAGATAAATAAAACAGTAACATCAACTAATTCCACTAAAAACGAACCCAAATAGAAACAAACCCTAGATTCCACTATCACCTCAAAACCCTCAGTTAGCATGCAAGGGGGGATGGCAAATCAAACTAGCATAAAAAGGATAAAGAACAAACCTGTCCCTTCACCTTAAGGTTGATATGTGCAGCCTGATCGGTGGGCTTCTTGTCCTCCTCGTTGGTGACGCCAGCCATCTTCTACTCACTTGGACTTCGAAAAAACCTCGTAAATCTACAACAAAAAACCTGATCGCTACCGATCACAGTCACAACAACGCCAATGTTCAGCACAAGCGGAGCTCCCAAATGGATTCTTCTGCAAATAGTCTCCACCGACAAGTTAAATAGCGGGATGGATGAGGAGGCCATAGGGCAGTGACGTTAGCGTGAGAAGAACGATGAAAATTGACGGTTCCGATTCTGTTGGAATGGATAAGATCGGACGGATGAGAAAACATGTGATTTCGGGTCCGTCAGGGGGGAATCCGTATCGCCGTTTCTTAGTAAGTCGATCAGGATGACAGGATCTAAACTAATTTGAAAAAGATTTACTCGCTCCGGATCAAAATATAAAATATTTTTAATTATAATTTAAGTATTAATAAAATTTAATTATATTTTTGTTTTCATTTAAAAATATTACAGGTTTTTTTTATCTTTTTCCCACATGCTAGTAATAAATTAAATGAGAGAGATGATAGTTTTTAATAAAATATTATAACATGAGAAAACGTGATTTCTCTCATAGACCAACAAAATTTTAGCAATTATAAGAAGTGAAAAAATATAATAAATACTACATAAATTAGGTTAATAAATATAAGGTTAAAATAAAAAAATTTAAAACCTACTAATTATCTTATATTTTGAACCAAGATAAGTTAAGAAAAAATGTCTACCAATTTAAATAGGAGGGAGTAAGTTTTTATTTTTTGGGACGATGAAAAATATAAATTGTTATTGTAGATAATTTCATATCTGATGAGCATGTTTTATATAACTTTTTGTTTTTATTTTATTTCTTTAAATTAACCAAAATATGATAAACATATCATGCATTAAACAAATGTGTGATGTCAAATAATTTTTTTTTACACTCTTTCTGTTTAAAAATATAAAATATTTTTAATTAAATCTAAATTTTTAATAAAATAATTACTTATTTTTAAATTAATTTTATTTTTATATATTTATCTCTATTTAATAGGATATTTTTCAAAATAAATAAAACTGCTAATTTAAGTTAAGCCCAACAAACTAACCCAAACTCACTAAAAAAATTTAAGACTAAACCCAAAAAAATAATAATTTTTTAATATTTAAGTTATTCAAGTGGTTCAAATTAACATGAATATAAGAGTATAAAAAATGTAAAATATAAACTAATTTTTTAAGTTTATATTATTTTATACTAAAATACCATATATTTAAGCGTATTACTCTAGTAACTTTTTAAAAAAATTAAAAATATTTATATTTTTAAATTTTTATTAATTTTAATCACTAAAATATTTTAAAATAATATTTAAAATATATTTTTTATATTTTAAGACCTAATTTTTTTTAAAAAAATTGAATCCTACACATTATTTGAGTACCCAAAAAAGTATTTCATCTTTTTATAAAATAAATAATTAATTTTAAAGTAAAAAAAAGTTTTAAAAAAATTTAAAAATAAAATTCAAGCAAGTAGGAATTTTAAATTTACAACTAGATAAACATAATAAATAAAACAATATTATTAAATAATTATTTAATTATCTTTCATGTCAGACTTAATTAAAAATTAAGAATATACTAGAATAATTATTATTTTTATGTAAGGGTTAATCAATATAAAAATTTAAAAAAATTAACATTTTACTCATAATTAAATAATTTTATTTTATATAATATAATGATGGTTTTTTTTTATTCTTAAAAATAAAAAATATAATTTATCTAAATGTTATTAAAAATTTTAAACTAATTAGGCAATACTTTTAAGTTAGTGGTCTAGTCATAATTAAATTAAAATCAACTTAATCATAATTAAAATAATATAATTTAATTAAAATACATAAAATATGTGTGTATATATATATATATATAAATGATATTTGATATTGATGTGAAAAGAAACAAGGGAAAATGACACTTATAGACCTTGTAAAGACATCAATAATTATTAACAACCTTAAAATATTAAAATGCCAGAAAAGGATTACTCTCTCAGTTAAAAAATAAAGGTATTTTTTAAAGAGATGAATGTTCGAAAGTGTAAGGTATTTTTAGTCTTTTGAGATGTAATCATTATCTTTTTTTTAAGTGCCCTATTAATGGTGACTTTATATTTATTATAGGGTAGTTAATAGAGATAAATATGAAAAGATATAGTTAGTTTGAATATAGGTAAGAATTTTAATAGGGAGTGAGATTCGGTTAAAAATATTTTTTAATGGAGGGAAGTATGATCTTTATTTACAATTAAAGTATCTTCAATTATTGAAATAATTAATAGATAATCTATCACACTTTCTCCAAGTATTATCCAAAAATCATACAATTCAAACAAACTAAGTGTGATTAAGGAGTTGATCCTAAAACCAACTTAAGAAATAAACTATTTAAAACACCAAACAATCTACACAATAGCAAAACACACATTTAAATTAATTAATTTTTTTAGAAAAGTCTAAAGAATTATGGTATAGCACACAAAAGCAAACTAGGCAAATAGGGACATTTAATCTACTGTCATGACAATACTCTCAGGCAAACTTCCGGGAGGTTCTTTTGATTGAAGTGATTTTAAATCTCACATGTCACTTCTAATGTGTATTAATAGTTTTAAAATTTTAAAAAGATTCAACGATCGGATTAAAATTTAAACATATTACAAATTTGGTTATTTTTATTGTTATGACAGCACATTCAAACCAACTTTCGAAATGCACCATTTTGTCATTCGACTTTCGATTAGAGCAAATCCAAAGCCCACATGTCACATTCAAAGGGTGTAAGTGTACCAAATTTTAAAAAGATCCAATGATTAGATTAGAATTTAGACACTCTACAAGATTGGATAAAGTTACTGTCATGACAGCATTTCTGGACCAACTATTGGAGTGTACAATTTCATCATCTAACCTCTAATCAGAACGATTCCAGAGATCACATATCACTTTTAAAGATTACTATTAGTATGCCAAATTTTGAAAAGATCTAACAGACAGATTGAAATTCGTGAATGTTGCAAATTCAACCACTTTGCTATCACGACAGCACCTTTGAATCAACTTTTGAAGTGTACTGTTTCTTTGTTTGGTGTCCGATCGATATAATTCCAAAGCCCACACGAAACTTATAAAAAGTGTTACTTGTAGCCTAAATTTTAGAAAAATCTAATGGTTGGATTGAGATTTGGACACTCAGATATAAAAGTACAATTTTTTATTAAAATTGACCAAATCTCATCCCAAGTAGAGCTAGAAAAATGGGCCAACTCTTGATAGGCTCGAGCCTAAAAGGGCCAGGCTTAAAAAGCTCCATTTTCTTTTGAGGTACCAAATTATAAGGCCCGGCCCTTGAGATGGCGGGCTTCAAGCCCTATTATTTTTTTATTATCAAATTAAATATTAATACTCCATTTCATTACACAACTCAAAAATCTCATACCAATATATAAATCAAGCGTACAACCATATCAATAAATAAAATAACAACAATCAAAATAAAGCATAAACACAAATAAAGTGATAGCATCATAATGACCAAATGAGATAAACCGTAAACACAAGTCTAACTAAGAGCAAAACTAAGAATAAGGAAAGAACAAGCAAAGGAAAATCAGACTATTGTTCTATTGGAGCAAGAGGAGGACTTGAGAGATGCTATCGTTTAAGTCTTTGAGCTTAGTGAAGCATTGTCACAAATGAAAGAGCACAATGAAGCATGGTCGCAAATAGAGAAGCACCGTTAGAATTTGGGAGATGCTATCAATAAAGAGAAATGATGAGAGATGAGCACAACTCACATGAACAAGAGATAAATCATAGAGGGGTAGAATCGGTGAAATGTAATTTGAAGAGTTAAGTTAAGGGATTTAAAGTTAGCTATTTTTTTTAAAGTTTTTTCTCCCTTGCATGTATAAATAGATCATGCTTAAACATTTTTTTCAAGTCCAAGTGTCTATCAAAAGTTAATAATTTAAATAAAAAATATTTAAATATAAAAAAAAGTTATACAGGCTTAAATGGGCTGGCCTTTGGCCCTTTAGGGCTAGCCCATTTGTTTTTTAGGCCATTAAGACCAACCTATTTAAGCTCGAATTACATTTAAAGGGTCTTAATTTCAAGCTCGGCTTTTCAATTAAACGGGCCAGCCCAACAAGGTGGCCCTATATTCCCGACTATAATCCTAAGGGTTATAAACTTGTGGGAACACTTTGAACACATTAAATAGAACTAAGAGTACCTAATAGAACATTCAAATGAAGAAAAACTCTCATATATCAAAATTTGACCATCCAAGTGTCATTTTTCAAAATGAACCCTAAACCTCTAAATGTACAAATCATACAAGAGTGGTTAAAAATCAATTGAAATATCATGTATTTATATAAATACATATGCTAAACATTTTTACTTGGTTTAGAGATCCTCGTGGGGCCCACGCACCTACTCTCTCTATTCAAGATATATGTTTGCCTTTAACATACAATTTGCAATGCAACCATTTTGCAATTGCATGTAGAATCACACATATTCATATATATACACCAAAATAAACATTTGCTTGTAATGAAAACTTAGTCTATCAAATGAATCCATCAAAACCACATGCCATAACCAAGTTTCTTAAACAAAAAGTCTACAAGTAGCAAAAATGCATATACAAGCACACAATCTACATATATGCACATATATGTATAGTCACATTCCATTGGCACCCTTACATAAATACATTACAATATACTTGCTCAAAAGAAAGGGGTTGTAAATCTTTACAATTCACAAACAAACTCCTAGCTCAGCTCTTTTTCCCCTTTACTACTGGATCCTTTACTTGTAAATATTGTAAAGAAAGAGTGAGATAACCACAGTCTCAATAATAAAGAAATCAATATTCCTTATTACAAGGAAAGTCATAGTCAAGTAAATAAATAATAGATTCAAAATAACATATAATTAACTAATTAAAATGCTTGAATGTATGAGATAGGTCGATATGACTTTTCTTGACTAACAGAATGCACCTTGACACTCTTTAACTTGTAGGTAAACCTTACACCCACTGTATCTCTACAGGTACAAAATATAAACTAAGGTGTGATTTGATCCACCGAATCGTTTGTGCCCCTTTGATGTGAATCTTGAGCAGTCGAAACTAACTCCCTCCTAAAGCCAGCCTGACTTACTCTCCACGTGAGGGCTACCTTGACTTAGGCACTTAACCTCACACTTTGTATGCCGGATTCTCTCCCCCACTAAGATGTGTCGAACACTCAATCCACTAACTATTTTAGTATACTGAGCCCACAATATGAAAAGCAACATTGAAGTATTAACAATGAGCCATAAAATATCACAAGACTGCATCTCTCTATTGGTGAACTCCCACTGAGATCATGCCTCCTCCCCTTTTGTACCTTTCTTGATTATTAACCACTTCAACACTTAAGGTAGTATAACACTCATAATTCATCTCTTAAGCAGTTCCTTAGCCTATCTAAGGTACTAAACCTAGCTACACTTCCCTAAGTGTAAATCCTTATTTTTTATTATCACAATGCATGCTAATAATTTTATTTCCATAAGTAACATCATTATTAAATAGATAGTAAACATAAAGGCATTATTATTAAAACAATACCCTATAAACCCTTTTAAAACACATTTTATTTGCATTCAATTGTTTAAAACATGTAATGCATGCTAGATAATATTATCTACTCAAAAATAGCTAAATAAAGCAATAAAAAATATAAACTTTCCTGTTACCTCAATCCTTTGGTACCAAAAGGGTTCCTCTTGTATAAAATAAGACTTGACTTATTCATTAACTTCTCAATAAGTTCCACCAATAATTCCTTACAATATATAAGTGATCCATATCACTTTTCATAGCAAATAACATTAATAAAGACTATAACTCATATCATATAACTTGGGTCAATGAGTCATAATCCATCCCAATGGTCCATATATTAAACCAAATATTCACATAATACCACTTAACCACCAAAACCATTTATTAGCTACCATTAAACCAATTTTCAATTTATATAATTTTGAATCAATTAAAAATATTTACTTAGTGTCACCAACTTTCACTATTAGCCCTTCTAATAAAAACCAAATCTTAATTTAAATTTTATTGGGCTCAAATAGAAAAATTATAATTAAATTAATAGGCTTAAATCATTGAAGAGCAAAACCCAACCTCTTGGGTTTGACTTTTGTCTTAAAACTTTATTTTTCATCCAGATGCCCATTCAAAACACTAGAGCATCATATAGAAATTCAAAACAACCTTCCTAGGATTCAAGGAAACTAAAGCTTATAAGAAAAAAAGCCCTTGGGATCCAAATTTAAAAATTTTATTTTCCAAAATTTACGAAAATCTAGAGGGAAGGCAGAGAATTAAAGTAGGGAGTTTATCTACCGTGTAGTTGAGCTCATAACGGCAGCAAAGCCTTCTGGATTCGAGCTCTAGCTTCCTTCTCTTGCTTCCTCTTCTTCACCATCACTCTCCTCTTTCATTTTGTTCTTGCGTTTTGTTTCTTTTGTTTGTCCATTTCTTTTCTACGTGCTCTTATTTGAAAAAAAAATTGAACTAAAAAGTTTGGGAAAATTACAAATGAGGGCCCAATATTTTTTAATTATAGCACAAATTTTGGGTCAACTTTGATAATTTTTTTATAATTAAAAATAAAATAAAATAAACTTTTGCTTAAAAAAATTTGAATTCAGGATCTCTATCATACTATCTTAATTTTAATTTAATTATAAATATTTTATTTTATTTTTTTAAATAAATTTGAGTCTTAAAATTTTAGAATATTACAAAATCATTCATAAATTTTAGAAAAGTTAGTTATAAATTTAAGAAAGATTACTTGTGAATATATAAAAAGTTAATTTTGAATGGGTAGATAATTTCATGTATACATTGTTACTTGTGAATTTAAGAAGAATTATTTATAAATTTCATGAAAGTTACTTGTAGATACATAGAATGTTTAATTGTGAATGAATATTTAAAAATATGAAATAGTCCATAAGGGCTTGTTTGGTTTCTATTTTTAAAAATGGTTTTTTTTAAAATAAAAAAATTTAAAAATTTATTTAGATAAGTGTTTTAAATTTAATACACACACATACATATATATTATAAAGAATACAATGTCAAAGCATGGTAGATCTATAGTGCTTTGAACAATGCTTTCTTTTTTTAAAAAAAATTAATTAATGGATGATTTTGCTCTGAAAAAAATTATTGTGGGACCCCTGTTAAAAAAAGTAGTGCTAGACCACTTTATTGAAATGATATCTGATTAAAAATACTTTAAATTTAAAAAAGAGGGAGTATGTATTTAATTTTTTTAAAAATACTAAATAAATCAACTTGTATAACTAATAAATTTAAAACATGAATAAAAATTAAAAAAATATATCAAGAATTTTATGTTACTCCAACATATATAACTTGATTATCAACTAATGATTGAATAAATAAAAATAAAAACTTAAAAGTAAAAAGTCTATTTACATTTTGTAACTCTTAATTATTAATTTTAAGATAAATTCATATATATTTTAAAAATAAAAAAAGTCTTTGTGATTAAGATAAAAAAAAAGGGAAAAGCAATAATGTTTACTTTAAGCATACCAAAATAATTTTTAATATTTATATTTATTTTTTAAATTAAAACATTCCTATGTATTATATGGGGTATAAATCTAGTTGTTTTAAAAGTTGGTCTAATTTTTTATTTTTACAAAAAAAAAATATAAGCATTTTAAAGTTGTTTTTTTGTTGTGTTTTTGTTTTCATTTTTAAAATGTATTACATTTGATTATGAAAAAATATAATTATATTAATTAATTATTATCACAAACCGCTACCTTTGACCATGAGTGATTATCATTATCGATCAATTTTTAATTATAAAAATACCTTTTAAATTAATACAACCAACAAATTTTCTTTTTCTTTTTTTAAAAAAGTTTTAAAAGCTATATTACAAAATAGTTTTTAAAAACAAAAAGTAAACATGTCTTAAATCATTATTATTCAATTAAGAATATTTATGTTAGTTTATAAGGGATATTTCATATGATCACAAAAAAAATATTTTTTAAATTCACAATTGATTATTTATAAATTTTTGAGATTATCCATTTATTTATAATTGAATTTTATAAATTAAGTATTGACCTTTTTAAAATTCTCAAGTAACAATACATAAATTCATAAAATTATCTATCCATTTACAATTAACTTTTCATTAATTTACAGGTCAAATTGCTTAAATTATAATAAATTTTACTTAAATTCATAAGTCACATTACATCATTTATTTTAATGATTATTTATTTTTAATTTACAAATAAAATTCATATCCTTTCATAACATTTCAATAATTCAAAATATCCAATTATCATTAATGCCTTTATAAGATTTTTAACATTTTCTTATTTCTTATTTCTTATTTCTTAAGTGATGCTTGTTGGTCATACCCTTCTTATTATCGGCCAGCAACCAAAAGTTGCGAGGAAAATAATGCTCGCATGTTGCTTGGATATATATATATATATATATATATATATATTTCATTTTACTAAACCAAAGGTATTGTCGAGTTGCTTGCTTTCTCATGGCTTTCTAATTTCCTCAATACTTAATAACCGTTAGAAATCAGATAAAAAATTATGGCAACATTATTGAAAAAGTCATCTGATTTTTTTTCCTTTTATCGAGCATCATCAAAGCCCAATAGTCAATACTCAATTGGAGTTAACTCTTCTAAAAGTTTTTTTCAATTCAATTTGGATATTTAATGTTTAAATAATCATAATCCCTTTTTTTTTTATGAAAACCAATCAATTTCATTTGTAAAATTGTCAACCTTTTCGACAATGAGGCGACAGCCAAATCTCATGCTTGTCCCAAATATGACTGATTTAAATCCCTATGAAATTGGGTAAACTCACCAAGTGAAGTCAACAACCATGTCTAGCAATAGCGGTGATTCAAATAGGTTGGACTCAATTCAAATCGAGTTTAAAAGTTAAAATATCTTATCTTTTAAAAAAAATTCATATAATCAAACACATCTCTAACTTTTTTCAACAAGTTCGAGCAACCCTGTCTAATTTGGCCAAAATTATTGACTCTACGTACATATGACGCCAAAAATTCTAGTGCTTAAACTTATTCAAATCGGACTTAAAATATTCTATCTTTTTAAAAAGTTCCATATAGCTAAACCTAATCCTAACTTGTTTTAAAACAGGTTCAGACTTGAATTACCAGCTCCATCTAGCCAATTCCTAAGCACCATGTATCATATTTTCCAAAAATAAATAAATTTCTACGCCCTACGACGTCTACACAAGAGATCTCTTACCAAACAAAACCAGTTAACAGCTCACAAAGTTGGCATATATACATATCCAAGCATAAGAATTCAGCATCCACGATATCCTTCATCACAAGGATGAGAAGGCAAGCTTAAACAAGCATTTCATCCGCTGCTCGCAGAGACACAAAAGATAATAAAAATTACGCATCCCATAAGTTATCAGATTTCACCAGTACAATACTAGAAACCAGTTAGTAATTATATTGACAAGGAAAACATATTCACTACAAACTCAAGAAGCAAGAGCTGTATTATAGTAGTAGGCTGATTGAAGAAGCGTCTTACGCAACAGCACCTCCTGTTTGATGAAGCATGGCATCTATTTCGTCCCCATCCTCCATTTCCAGCTGCACCCAATCAAATTTTAATGAGAAAAATCTATAATATAGTCAATAGTTATCAAGATATGAGCGGCATTTACATGAACATGAGAAGGCAAAGGAATACACACAGACCTCATCCGGAGTCTGCTCTGCTCGAAGGCGACGACCATCGAATAGAAATGCAATGGAATTAAAATCCACTGATTGTCGGTCACAGTAAGCATTCATGAGCTTCTTCAGTTGAGTGCTTCTCTTAATCCTGAAGAAGACTTCATTCCCATCCTACAACATCAAAGTGGGAGGAAAAATGATGCTAATTTTACATGACGCAACCAAATCCTGACTCCCAAGAACACACAGGAAGCAATATCAAGAACGGTGACATTTTGGCAATGACAACTACCATGGATAGACACGATCCATTATTACATGTTTTGCTTGAGAGGAGTAAAACATTAGGTGGTTGATATTTGATAAACATGATTCCAAGAATTGAACCAGATCTGCACATCTTGACACAGACCCAACGCCAGACCTTTTCTTCCCTTTTTTCTCTTGTGTGTTAGCATTGACAAATCACAAATCAAATAACATGAACCACAAACCAAATAGCCCATATGGCACCAAGCTAGGTTTGAGCTGAGCTTGATGAGATTACATTCAGACACACTGCTATCTCCCTAATCCCAAAACATAAAATTACACTTCAAAGTACATAATTACCAATTAGCTTAACCCCATAGCTATGCTCCCTTCAAAGCCAAGTTCACAATTAGAGCTTTTACCCTTCTCAACAAAAATTATGACTAATCTATGCGCAGCATTTGGTACTTCAATTCAAACATTACAGTGGGACAAAATTAGATTAGAAGATGAAAAGTCAATTTCGAACATCCTCTAGAAGATTAAAGGCCTAAGTTTGTTTTCCTTATGATAAACAAAAACCATAGTCAAAAGCGAGAGGTGCTCCAAAGATGATAAACCTCTTAATCAACTCAAAGAAGTGCAAAGAAGGTGCACACCCAAGCGAAACAAGAGGACAAAATAGAAAGGAAATATGTCAAATAAACAAGAATAGATAAATGTAAATTTAAAACCAGCAAACATATAAATTAACCATTCAAACATAATCATTATCAAACCTTAAACGATAACGGTCATCAATAACACTAACATCACTACACAAGCATAATAATCATTTAGTCATGACCATAATGACATTAAATACACTTATATAAAGTCATTACTTATACTATATGTCAAAGTATAAAAGTTACCTGGTTAACTTTACAGTTCAAAAAATAGGTGTAGCAGTCGTGTTATGTGCATTCCATTGTTTTCATGCCCATTATCAAATAACTAAATAATATTTTAATCTAACTATTTTACCATACAATAATCCCTAGAGTGTGCCTTTTTGTTTCCAAACACACAAAGGCGCCTCAATGAGGTCCCCCAAACAAAACGACCAAGGCACTTGCCTAGCAAGTATACAGTATCAGTTATGTCTTCTTTATCATTAATCATAAGGTATAATCTCTTTTTCAAAGCCTTAACCATAGTCAAAGCTCAAAATAAATTACAGAAATCTAGGGGTAGTAAACTTTTGAAATTGTTTAATCTTCGTGGCTTGATGCTATAGAGAGAACGTAATGACAACTTGCTGTAGTAGGAAGACGAGGAACAACTGTTCAGCAAAAAGGAGAAAACAAGAGGAGAAATGCATGGTAACTATTGTAGGACGTGTTATATTATAACATCATTTGCTGACCGACCCCATTTTGGAGGGACGGAAAAAATTTAATTCATAATTACTAAGGATAGTTTGGGTCTGTTGGGAGACCATTTCTCGCCATTCCACTTACCCCTAAACCCTCCCCCCCGACCCCGCCCCCAACCCAAAAAAAAAAAAAAAAATTCTTGCCAACTAATGGTCTAACACCAGTCCGTTCTGTTTCCTCCCTAAGAAACCCCCAAATTTACCGTACGCAAAAACCTCGCTGAACTCAGAGCTCACGCCAAACAGTTAAATTCTCAGCACAATCCGTAAAAAATGGATAATATTCTGCCTCATAATTCATGAGACACAAACCCCACAATTCACTCTCGTCAAGATGTAATTGACAATAAAAGCACACAGACACATTGATCAAACAGTTAAAAAATTGTCCCTTTGCGAATTATAGAGCCTACATGCGTCTGCGTACAGAGTAGGGAATTCTATCAATAGTATATACCCCACTGGAAACCACTAGTCGCACTCATGGATGTCCAGTTCCAAAGAATCAGGTGGGATTGCTAAAATAGTAGAGTCTAATGATTCCACTTAAAACGGCCCTAAATAGAAAAAGAAAACCCTGGATTCCACTGCCGCCCCCAAAACCCTCGGTTAGCATGCCAAGGGAAAGGAAAATCAAGCTTGCATAAAAAGGATCAAGCACAAACCTGTCCCTTAACCTTGAGGTTGATATGCGCGGCCTGATCAGTGGGCTTCTTATCCTCCTCGTTCGAGACGCCTGACATCTTCTACTCACTCGGACTTCAAAAACCAACGGAACTCTCCAACAACAAACCGGATCGCCTCCGATCACAGTCACCGCAACAACGACGTTCGGTGCGAACGGAGTTCACTGATGGCCTATTCTGTGAGCTCCCTGCGCCGGCGGAGTTAAATAGAGGGATGGATGAGGGTCTACAGCAGGAATACGGGTTGAGCCCGCAACTAACTCATTTAACCTTAACCTGCCAAATCCAACGAGTTGAATTGAAAATATGGGCCCATTTCAAAATAAGTTGGGTTAGCTCAGCCCACAAAAGTGACAGGCTAGAACGTGCTGGCAGCTAGCCCATTTTTTAATTTTTTTTAATTACAATATATTTTGTATAAATCTATTATAATTCAAATCTATAATTTATGATTCCTAATTTTTTTTACATTTAAAAGATAATGTAAATTTATAATTTGCAAATGAAATTTTTACTCTGCTTTGTAAATCTATGATTTATTAGTTTTTAAAAAAAAATATTTTGAGCATATATTATTTGTTAATCTAAGAAGATTTATTGATTGAAATCACAATATAAATTTGTTAAGAAAACTAATATGGATTCATGTTTTCTTTTTTAGTGAAAAAGATAACTCTAGAGAAAAAGATGATTAATAGTAAAAATATAGTAGAATTTTTTTAATATTTTAACTTCCTTTTTCTATTTTATTCATAATTCATAGGAACGAGGTAAAAATAATATCAAAATTACATTTAAATTTTTTTGTGATACCAAAAAATATTTTTAATTCTAATTATTTTTATTTTATCGATTTCATTCTCATTTGTTTTTTTAATTTTTTTTATTATTCAAGCTTACTTTCAATGGGACATCTAAGTTAAAAAAGTTTGGCTTCTAAACTTTTTTTGAAGTGCCACTGCCTTTCAAGAATGCACGACAGAAAATTTCAAATTTTGATAAACATTAGAAAAATTGGATTCGAAGCAATGACCCTAAAATATAAAAACAGCCCATTTGACCAAAATAACGGTATGAGTATATTTTTGAGTGGCAATAAAATAAAGGTTATTGGGTGAAATTTGTCTAACAATGATTTAATTTGAATATAAATAATATGTTAATTATAAATTTTAAATCTTAAAAAAAAAAAGAAATCAAAATTACCAACCTACAAACTCATCAACCTGCCAAGTTGAATTAAGTTATCCTAACTTATTAGAAAATAAGCTAGCCCAATTCAACCTATCAAAATTATAAATTGCGTAGGCTAGCTCGCAAGTTCACTTATAATTCATTTATCCAACTCTCAATTAAAAGAGGACATTGAGGCTAGCATGGGAAGAATAAGATATAATAAATTCATCGTTTCATATTTTTGAAATGTTTGTTCTGGGGTGATTTTTTTATTTATTCTTTTAAATGAATATTTATAGTACAATTGAAAATAATTACTGCCTTCACACAAACATGAATTCGAGCTTTCATCATTAAACGGTCATAATTTTTTTCACTGAAATCAATAGCTGTTGGTGGATTTTTTATTTTGATGACATAAATATATAATTCTTTAAAAGATACGGGGTATGAATTAATGAATTAAATTTTTATATATAAAGTCATATGTATGCTCTGTTTTGAAATTTATACTACTTATTATATTTTTTACCGAAAATTAGTATCAGAATAATAAAAGTTTATTTTTGAACGGGATTTGTCGGTCCAGAAAAAAAAAACCTGGACGGAATCTTGAAAAATAAATAACTGAGAGATTAAAAACAATTTTTTACAAAAAGAAAAAAAAAAACTGAGAGGCTGAAAACAATATTATGGCCGGTAAGACGGACATACCAACCAATTCAGTGGGCCTGAATTTCGGACCAAATCAAGCATGGTGTGACCCATGGATTTCTATTTTAATTTTATGTCTCTTTCTTGTAGAGAAATGTGTTTTCTTTTTTTGGAATAAAAAAAACTATTTTTCTTTAGATTTATAAGAAGCCCAGCTCAAAAGAAAGTTATTCAATACCCACCCAGAAAAAAAAAAAAAAAGAGCCTTCTTGGACAACAAAAGGTTAGAAGCGCCAAAGCCATGAGAGAGTGTAAAGGTATGTTTGAATTAGAATTTAAGACACAGATTAAAATAAATGGAGGTTTGTAAATTAAAAGTTAGGATAAAAGTCAACAAAAATAACGTAATTTATGTTTGAATATTTATTTATTAAAAAGCCCTACAGAAGCTAGAATCGCGTTTTTTTAACTTCTATGTAGATGAGCAAGGATCAAAAGCTCTTTTGATTTTTTTGTTATCCAAGCATCTTTTCTAACTTTCCAGTGAGCTTTCAAGACCCAATGTTCAAGCCACTTAAATCTCAGTTTGAATATTATCCAAACATATCCTAGGCCATTTAACATTTATCATTCATGCTAACTTCAATTAAAAAAAAAAGGCTTGTTAGTGATTAATTTTGTGATAAAGATGGGATATGGGTGGGCAATAAATAAGGCTTAAATAAAGAGGGGAAATATGAAATGAAAATAATAATGTGAAAAAAGCAATAAAGTCAATAATAGAGATGTAGAAGTAAAAGCCCCACGCTACGTTCGCCTTGTGCACACGCCACTCATATTGTAGACATTTGCCTGTCTTCACTGCCAACACAAAGATGCTTCCTTAGCCAAATACTCAACACAAACTAGACCTAATCATTTTGTCCTGCGTCTTTATATTAAGATTATTCATCATGCTACAATCCACACACTTTATATATATAATTATAATTATAATTATGATAATATGCTTGTTATTTCAAACGGGACTTATTATTATGTTTTTTTTCCCCTCCAATTGTGTGAATTTCGTAAGTGACAAATTTCCAATTGCCAAATGTATTTTCTGTCGCGTCAAAATGAATAGTTTCACATGTCAAGTAGGGCCCATCAATTATAGGTAATTGAGTTTAGCTCAAATAAGTTTAGGCTGTCCAAATTACTGACTCAATCAACAATCTGATATATTTAAATATCTTCCTGTAATGTATAATTGGGACATAAAGATAACACTTGAAAAATCATTTGCAAAACAAATTAGCTTTCTGACAAAGTTTGCCTAAAGAATAATTCTATTCATCAACCTATTAGCCTAATGTTAGGTTAAGTAGCCACCATCTAAGAATTTTAAATCTTAGACCCTGGTTACCAACTATGACCCGAAGTATCCCCATACCAAATTGTAATTTTTGATTCATTATTATTTTTCTTTGTGGGTTACTTGGATTAGGTTGAAATATGCCCCTTTTAGAAAACCGACAAGAAGTTCTATTTTTCATTCTTTGCTTATTGTTTTTTTTTTTGGTAAAAAGAAAAAAATACTCATAAAATAGTTAATCAAGAAAAATCAATATCTTAAAGTGAGAAAAAAGATAAAAATATTCATAACATTACATAAACGAATACAACAGTGATTAAATTATTAATTTTGACCTAACACCATTAATTTTGATCGTTAAATGCTAACTATACTTGTTATGTATCAGTTTTTGTTGATGTAGACTAATAAAAAGACAAAAATATTCACAAATTCATAGGCTAATAGCAAAAATACCTACAATGTTATCAGAATTTATGCAAAAGTGACAAACCTATCAAAGCCTTTAAATGTTGATTGTTTAGCTGATACATAAGCAATATTTGACTATTTTTTTTACTAATGTAGATAAAAAATATTCGCAGATGAACTTTTACGGATATTGATCAATCATCATTTAAGTACCCATAATGTTACTTTAGAAGGTGCAATAATAATCAATCCATCAAAATATATACCACATGATTTTTTCCATCGTCACGTCTCTTGCCCCCTTCCTTCCTCCCTTTCTACTCGTTTTTCTTGTATGCAAAATTTGAGATTTAACAGAGTGAGATAGGTTGTATACAATTGAAAATTGAGATTGAGCACACCTCCCATGCTGCTGCCCACCTTAAGAATATTGTCACATCCTTAAGTAATTTCATGCATGATAGGTTCAAAATTTACAAATGGTTTTTGCCACTGTTACAAAAAAAAAATGATTTAATTTGATATTTGGTCAAAACGATATTTTTTTCACATGATATTCATACAATGACTGATTGACCTCTAGATAATTTCATCTGAGAATATTATTTATCTATATTAAAGAAAAATAGTTAACTTTTGCTTAGGTGTCAACTAAACTGTCAACATTTAAAAACTTTGATAGATTGGTCACTTTTACACCAACTCTGGTAACATTATAGGTATTTTTGCTCGTGACCTATAATTTCATAGGTATTTTTGCCCCTTTATTAGCTCACATCAGCAAAGACTAACACATAACATGCACAGTCAACATTTAACAGTCAAAGTTAACAGCGTTTTTAAAGATTTGATTACTTTTGCACTCACTCATATAACGTTATGGGTATTTTTATCCTTTTTCTTGCATTATAATACTAGATACCCTTGACTAACTATTTTATAGGTATTTTTACCCCTTTATCCTTATTTTTTTTAATGTTTCTTTTTGGATTGAAAGCATAGTAATATAATACCCATTGTCATAGTTTGGTATGGCAATGAACGATTATTTGTGGGGGAAAAAAGACAATCGACTATTATCACCATAGGAATCAATAAATAGTGTTAATTTTTTTTTACTTCTTTCAAAATTTGAAATTGTGGTCCAATTAAAACCAAATTACTAATTGAAGTCAAATCACCTCTCTTTAACTTGGGTCATTGAACAATTTAGTCTACAATTGTGTTTAAAACCCTAACTTGTATTTTTTTACAATGTTTTCTCTAAATTTTTTAAAATGATGTAACGTAATTACTACTATTAATAAAAATTAATTTTGAACAAACTAAAAAATAATATAAACCAATTGAAAATATTACAAAAAATAAAAAAAAATTATAAATAAAGACCCAATACATTGTATCGTTTTTAAAAATTGAGAATGATTGCTATAAAAAAATAAATTTAAAATTTTATATACTTCTAAACCTACAATTATGTTATTTAACACTTTTAGCTTATATTTATTGGCACTGGTATTTGAAACCATTACCAATAAATTTTTATCGGGTAAGTAAAATCGGTCACTTCAAGTAAAAAGAAACTTCAATTATCTGCTCCCAAG